AATTTCGATATATTACACGACGTCCAGCCGAGCGGGTCTTTGTCTAATTTGTATGGGTGAAGTGTATGTTGTTTTGGTTGGGTGAAGACGTAACCCAACAACGTTTCTAATATGTTTGATTACTCATCCGTAACCGACTATCATTGTAGCTGTATTTATGGTCTACAATTCAGGATACTCATTAATGACTTTGATACGAAACGAATGGTAATGATGAAATATTTTTCATGATTGAAATATGTATCCAGATCTTTGGATTGGGAAGAGCCACCCTAAAATTTTTTTTGAATATTAAGAGCTCAAATCCTTTCATACATTTCAGAGACTTTCTTCCCATATCTTCAATTTTCACATTTAATTTATTCTTTATTTCTCCATTGTTCTCCCTTTTTTGGGGGCTTTGGAGACACTACCGCAAATTGTTGGCGTTTTTTAGACACCATTTTACTGACAGGGCTTTTTATTTTGTACTTTGTATCATTTATGAATTGAATTGCTGAAACTGCTCTTGGCACTGGTAGAATTCACTGCTAAAAAATACTCCAGTGATTCACCGGTTCCAAACTCGGTTAGCACAATACATCAAAGACCTTTTAGAATATTCTCAGAAAAAAATAAGTTGTCGTTGGTCCCACCAACCCATGAAATGAAATTTCATAAAACCTGGCTAAATGTGTAAGCAATTTTCAAAAATTATGACAATATTAGTGATAATGTCATTCAATACGTTTTGTTATATGAGAAGCTGGTGTTAGGAAGTTGTTTTTTTTTCTGGTATCTTTCATGAAGCCTTGATTGTGCAGCGACATCAGCCGCGTTTACACTGCTATACAAATTGGTCCGTTTGAAGTGAACCGTATTCGGTCTGGACTCGGCCCGGATGGCCGGTATCCTTTACACTGCGCTGGTTTCACTGGGTCATCAAGTATACACCTGCTCTCTAGTCAGTAGAGGCAAAAAAAAAGGAATTCAAAATGTCGCCAACCATAAACAAGGCTATGATAGGTAAACGATTCCTCAAATCTCTCATTTTGTTTTTGAAACATAAAGAAATAAAATATTATGATTTCGTAAATATCGGCGGCGCAAGCCATTGCAAACACGATGTATTCTATACGACATTGCCTGTCATATAGGGTCAAGGTCATTATTGCACATGCGCACTTCTCCTTGTTTACACTTCTATTTTTTCTGTCGATACAAGCATCAAATTTGACATTCAGTTACTTTATAATGTTGGGAACATTTGTGGATATGGAGTCACTTGAAATTCTACATATTTAAGACCATCTAAAATCGTGTTGGTATTTCTGAGTTTTAGTCAATTATAAACCTGTTATCGATAGCTAATTGTATATTTTTAGGGACAGGGAATCCAATGGTTTATGGTAAAAGGAGTTTAAAATGGCGACCATCAAATATCTAAAATATAATTGCTAATATTTCTGAAATCAGCTAGTTATCCATTCTTGGTGGCTAATTTTGCATTAATGGGGTCAAGGAATGCAAAAACACAAGTTACAAGTAACTATAACTGCCGCCATGTTAAATTCCAAAATGGCGACCATCGAATATGTAATTGTCAATATATCTGGATACATTTTGGACAAACTTTATCATTTAATTGTGAGAACTATACACCAAACTTGACAAACCATTTTAGATTGTATGTAAACATAATAAGCGCCAAGTTGTAGATACATATTCTTACTTTATAACTAAAAATATATTATAAGGTTAACCACCAAAACGAGGCCAGACTGCTTAATTAACAATTAGTACACGCAGTTTTTTCCACGGACAGCGGCATTAGCCTGCTCTTTTTCGATTTCCTGTGATCTATAACGTGCACACGAGCCTCGGTTGACGTCAAGATACAAAGATGCAAATGGCGTGTTATTCGTTATTGAATCTAAAAGACTGTAAGGTTCAACCCCTAATACAAAGCTACTGTGTTATTTGTATTAACAAAACACATACCGCAATTACTTTATGATATTAGTTAAAACTAGCCATAGTATATTTAAGATATACGATTTGGATCTCACTAACGGCACTACTTCTGCAAACACAAACAAACAGAGATACCCACAAAAGGACTTAAATATAGCTTACCAGGCAAGGTAACATACAGCTGAAATGATAACAGAAATACGATTTCCTCAAGATCTTCATAATGCGTTTGTTTATATAATCAATTGTTTACATCAATAGTAATAACATTTCAAGGCAATATGTAACTGGGAAAATCAGGGTCAGGAAAACTTGATATAATATAGTTTATTTACAACAGCAAATAATAGCAAATATTTCGGTATATTATAGATATAATGTATATATTATAAACTCTGAAATAAATGAATGAATAAATATAATAACTATTTTAGACACTAGGAAATAACCCAAACGATAGTTTTATGTAATGGAAATAAATATGCTGCAGTTTTTTTAAAAAAGGCTAAGAATAATATTTACAATTTAATCTATTTACAATTAGATACAATACTTACCTTAATTCCTAGGAGTTTTAATTCAAAGTAGTATTTCAATATAATTATCCTCTGTGAAACTATAAATATTCAACACTTGAAACTTAATGATTTCCTTATGATAAACAAAAACAAAGTAACTAGGAAACTAGTGAAAAACTGCCTCCTATAGGAAAAAAGACTACACTTAGCAGACGACAAAATGAAACTGCCAACATAACAAACACCAACATAGCAACTAAGCAAATACAAAAAGACAAAATGAAACAATATAAGCTACACAGACATGGTCTCATCAACATACACATTCGTTTCAAATTTCATCAAAATGGCAGTCTCTATGATCTATGTAACACCCAATTCCCTAAAAATGAATATCTTCAATTACGAACTTGACTGAAATATAATCAATATATGTTGGCATCCCCAGTTTCACAAAATCGACAAGGTCAAATATATATATACAAGATTTAAACAGTTTGATTATTTTTGGATAAATACTGACTCATTTTTACAAGGTAAGGGCAATAACTCCAAAACTAATCATCTGATTATTACCGAATTCGAATTTAACCGCGATCTTTTAAATATGTACTTGCATACCAAGATGGAATAAAAACTGTAGTCTCTATCGTGCCTACAAGCCAAATTGACGAGCTTTACTTAGTTAATGCTAATAATTGTCTGCTATTAGATATTCAAAAATACTTCAAGATATTGAGGTAAGTAAAAAGTCGATTGAAGCAGTCCAACTGGCTGTACCATCGATGACTATATAATTATGTGGCGTATTTTAGTAGAAAGCAGGAAAAGCTGGTATATTATATAATTGAAATACGACTCATAGGTCAATACTGACTGGAAATCAAAATAGTCTTTTTTATCCGGTAGTTATCGACTTCTGCTGATCGGGCGAGTTATTTTTTCTAATTTCAGATCAGAATAAGAACAGAAGAAAACCCAATATCAAGACCCTTAATCCTAATTTTTAAATAAAGTGTCTGCTCCACCTTAGGCCTGTTCATTTGGGAGAATCAAACCCTCCCTTCCCCGAAATCTAAAAAGAGTCGTTTGTTGTGCGGTGACAATCAAGCGGATGTTGATAAAATGTAGTGGTCTACTTTCAGTTTGTCTAGCTCAAGATTGTAGCCTAATGATCATGATGTATTGAATTTATGTGCAGAAAGTATTGGCTTGGCTTTCATTTGACATATTGGAAAGTTTTCAACGATATTTCTGAAAAAAGTAATAGAAGGTTGATTTTCGTGATTTAACATGAAAACAGATGGCATTACCGGTCTTAGTCCTAAAATTTGCGAGTTTGGGACTGTAGTTATTTCCCTTTATCCGGCAATTCTACTGGCACCAGGCTTTATCATTCATTCCCATCATTATTCTTAGTGGTTATAAAAGAAAAAATGGACCGATCGAAAACAGTTCTACTTTCACCAAAAACGAACTAATCACTTATTATTCAGGGACATGCAAATGAAGCAACACACAAAAAATAAAAAAAGGCATAAGAAAGAATCTTTGTAAATTATCGGTACATAGATAAAGCTTTTTACTCTATAAATTAAACATTGTAAAACTCTTTTAATTGATAGCCAGGTTCCCAGTTCCAACTATCGTTTCCAGGTAAAAAAAAATTCGGTTATACTTAACTTTTCATATAAAAAGCAATGAGGAAAACCAGTTCCAGTCGCCGAAGAAAACACCCGAACACTTCTCTTATCTGAAATTCTGTTCCAATGATAATTCTCGTGATATATTGCAAACAATTTTGACCATAATCCTAAATAATGGCCACAATCGCAATGGGGTGATTTATAGAACGAATTTTGGTGATTAAAACAAGTCGATCTTGAGAAAGAGACCATAACTCAAATGTACAGTGTTCACTTAATGATTAGACCTTATTTAAGTATAACATCAGTTGGTTGAAATGCAGAAAGAAATAATATATTGGTGTATATAAACTTCATAAAATAAATAAAATAACATTTTGAAATGGATGGATTGGGGAACTGACCATTGACCATAAGCGATATCAGCAATGCCTCTCTAGATATTGAAAGCAGAACTGTCTGCAGTAGTAAGACCCAAACATCTTTTTAGACAAGTTAATTTATCAAAGACTTAACAAGGTTCTGAGACATTCTCAGAAATCACTGTTATTTTACAGTTATCTATTCGAACGTGAAATGTTATGTTGTATGAATAAACGAAGGGGATTTTACAGTGATATTTGGTTATTCTTTCATTTCCAACTTTCGAGTGATCAGCATTTGAATTGCATGCAGCTTACTGGGCCTTGATGTATTGTATTTAAGTTGTAGGGGTAATGGGGTGTAGGGTTTTTGTGAGGTTACCTTTGTAGGACTGAAAACGTTACCTCTTATCTGCATCATTGATTGGAGCGTCCGGGACACCAAGCTACAAAGACTTGCACTATAAATATTTTCGTTGGTCAGATTAAGCTATATATTGACAGTAAGCTTAGTTTGGTGTGAATGATATTTATTTTATAATTAATTATATATTTTATGGAGATAAAAATAACAAAAAACAACCACCATAGACACGATGTAAATAATCAACGATAAACAATCGTAAATGATAAAAAATTTCGCACCATTCTTATATACCGCCTAACTTTCGTGGTTCCTGATTTTCCAATGGCCAGATTTTGACATCAAATACGAATAAAGCTGTCACCGATTTCCAGATATCACATTCACCAAATAAAAAGCTGTAGATGTCTCGAAATCCAGGTTAAAAAATCTAAATGAACTCTGCACTGGGCAAGGTTTTGAATGACGGGACTCAGCGACGCCAGATGAGCGAAACTAAATATTCCAACAAAGAACACTTTGGGTAGGACGGATGCTGAATGATCACCAGCACCAACTGGTGGTATTTATAGCAATAGCTATTCATAGTCAGGAACCGGAGAATATTAAGCTTTGTCAACATTGTCTGTAAGCTTCTCAGAATTAGCAAGCTTTTTATCTGGTTCCGGAATGCTTTCATACATATTTTTCAATTTTGGTACTGGAGGATAAAGTCCTGGAAATGGAGTCATTTGACTCTTTAGTGCCTCTCCATACTGGGCTTCCATGCTCATATGATAGTGGTATAGCGTTGCATAGTACTGTGTTACGGCATGTGGTGGCATTGGCGGGAAACCTGGCGTGCAGCCATATGCTAAATGTGCGTTCCAATGAGGATAAATCTCAGAAGGCTGAAGAGTAGCTGGTTTTGGAGGTGTGTGCTCTGGTGATAAAATTATTGGAGAAGTGGCTTTGAATCCCTTTACTGTGTCCCTTGTACATAGATTTAAAATGGTATCATCGTCAGGCGAAAGCGAAAGATGTGATCTATTTTTGGATATCGGACTAGGTGTTTCAAACGGATTTCTGTACCCATCTGACATCTGGTGATGATAATTGTAATGCATAGATTTATAATCGTCTGTAAGGTTTGAGCACTTGACACCGGGTTTCGGGGCATTTTCATCTGAGGAACGCACTGAAAATGAACGCTGTCGTTTCGGACTGGGCGAAAGAAAATCACTATCTTCTATCGAATGTTGACTGGTACTTTTCGTGGGTTTCTTAATAGGACTGCTTGGTTGAGTTCTGTGCCAACCCGGTGGTGTTTCCAAAAGCTCGATTCTGCTGCTTCTTGTCGGGGACGTATGTGGACTCGGCGCATCGAACTCGTGGGTATCGATAGAGATGCGTTTGATGCTCTCTTCTCCCTTTCTCTTTATATCTTGGAGTACCTGCATACTTGGTGTCATTGTTTCGAATGGATGGCCACTGGAAGAGGGGTACTGATAACACGACCTTGATGACCGCAATCCAATCAATTCTTGATTAGCTTCTGGTCGCGCTTTTCTTTGTCTTGCTCGTCGATTTTGAAACCATACCTAAAGATAAAGTGATATATATTAAAAAATTGCTAATTGTGACATAACTGTTGGATACTTGCATTATGAAAAATTTGATTGAGACGTTTGCACCATATTCGGGCTGTTCCTGAAGCACATACATTATAGGAATCGGTTTATATAAATCATAAATGTAGCAATGAGAACAAAGCAACAGGGCATCCTAGACATCATCTTCACAATGTCAAGCTGTTACGAATTGCGTCTTATAAGAAGACGCTCCAAAGAGTGTTATTTACGTGGTAAATTTTTAATGGCAAAATCCATATTCCTGACAACTAAAAATCGACAATTGGTTTGTCTAAAGATGCGCTTCCAGTTGATATCGACGACTAGTAGGTAGTATCGCAAATGTGTTTGTATCATATCTTAGCAGAACCGTACAAACCTGCAAAGAACGTTCACTAATATCTAACGATGTGGATAGCTGCTTTATTTGATCTTTATCTGGGAAGGGGTCCACTACAAACACGTCTTCCATTTTCTTGGTCTGGGTTGGACTAAAATATGACCTGATTCTTTTAGCACGACTTTTGACTTCTGAAAAAAAAATATAACCAAATACACTTTCCTTGAAACGAGCGTGTGATTCATCTAGTCTGTATCCCGATAAATTCTGTCCCAAAATGAAATGAAATGAATGGAGCTTTACGTCCTAATCTTCTGCACCTTGTGGGCTAATGAAGACGGGCAACGCCATGCAGAGTGCCATGAGGGAAATGTTTGCCAGGACAGCGGCATTAGCCTGCTCTTTTTTGATTTCCAACTGTCAAGGGATCTTTAACATTGCTTGATAAAGACGAAAGAATCATCGTCGAAACGTCGCAAGTTATTTATTAAAGTAATTGTTATCCATATAATTGTGTTCGTGTTGATCTTTAACGTGCACAGCCTGTAGCACACGGGGCCTCGGTTTATTGTCCCATCCGAACGACTACACGCTTTTTCCATTTCAGCCCCTCTTACCTGCATCAAAAATTCTGTCCCAAGTGCATGCATTATAAACATGTATAAGATGTATGAGAAATTACAACTTGGTAGATGTATGATTGACTAAAAAATTAGAAGATGTTTGAGAAATTACAACTAAGGGTATGTATGATTGACTAAAAATTAGAAGATGTATGAGAAATTATAACTAAGGGCATATATGATTGACTACAAATTAGAAGATGTATGAGAAATTACAACTTGGTAGATGTATGATTGACTACAAATTACAAAGATTTGAGAAATTACAACTAAGGGTATGTATGATTGACTACAAATTAGAAGATGTATGAGAAATTACAACTAAGGGCATGTATGATTGACTTCAAATTAGAAGATGTATGAGAAATTACAACTTGGTAGATGTATGATTGACTACAAATTAGAAGATGTATGAGAAATTACAACTTGGTAGATGTATGATTGACTACAAATTACAAGATGTTTGAGAAATTACAACTAAGGGTATGTATGATTGACTACAAATTAGAAGATGTATGAGAAATTACAACTAAGGGCATGTATGATTGACTACAAATTAGAAGATGTATGAGAAATTACAACTTGGTAGATGTATGATTGACTAAAAATTAGAAGATGTTTGAAAAATTACAACTAAGGGCATATATGATTGACTACAAATTAGAAGATGTATGAGAAATTACAACTTGGGAAATGTATGATTGACTAAAAATTAGAAGATGTATGAGAAATTACAACTTGGGAAATGTATGATTGACTAAAAATTAGAAGATGTATGAGAAATTACAACTTGGGAAATGTATGATTGACTACAAATTAGAAGATGTATGAGAAATTACAACTAAGGGCATGTATGATTGACTACAAATTAGAACATGTATGAGAAATTACAACTAAGGGCATGTATGATTGACTACAAATTAGAACATGTATGAGAAATTACAACTAAGGGCGTGTATTATTGACTACAAATTAAAAAAGATTAGAAGCGGAATGTCACATTCAACATTTTCCCATCTATTTCCCTCTCCGCCATTTTGAATTTTGTAAAAACTATACACTAAAATCTAGAGAAATGTGCCCCTTATAGGCTTTAACGTATCTGATAGTTAATGGATTTAAGTAAATTAAACGCCTAGCTGTAGAAAAATGTGTTTCCTACGTATTCTAAAGGTTTTAACTAACAATATCGAGCCATTATAAAACACCGAAACTAGGTCAGACTGCTTAATTAATGATTAGTACTATCCGTTTTTCATTAACCCTTTTAAAACAAATTCAGTTTGATCAAGAAGATACATAGATATAAATGTTATACTTAAGAAATAATTTACGTTTTTTTATAATTAGCATATATGAAAAATATGGAGATGATATCTCATGTATGGTCCTCGATATTGTGATGTAAGATAATATGCGTTAATGAAACAGCGAGAGGAAAATGATATTGATCTTGAAAACTAATTATTTCCAACCTAGCTAATAACCATTTGTGGTATTGTATTGTTTTATTGTTGTATACAGATATTACATCGGATGTTTAATCAGACTGATAGTTATTAACTAACTTTGAACCTTTACATTTTAAATGAACAGAGGTTTATAAAGAACTCGACGAAATCTATCTTTTCTTAATTCAGCTTACTTGTTTTTTTTTTCAAATAGTTTATTGTAAAAAAAAACATTTAATTTTCTAAGAGTAACCTATTGATATGAAAATAAGACAGTATGCTACCTCGTTCTAACGTTTCAATCTTCATTCTTCATGTAACATGCGACGTGGTAAAGCCATCTGATAACCTATTTTCATAACGTTTCGTAAAATTTAGTGCCCTACGTTCTGATAGCAAAGTCATGTTGTTAGATTTCTGATCTAGAGAGAAAATGTAATGGACAACTGAATGCGGTTCATGTATTTATGTTTTATTATGATTTAACTGTGAGTTTACCGAGCACTCATGATAATACTGTCTCATGACACCAGACAATTCGACCCAGAGACCAATCGGCAAATGTTTTAGTAAAGACTATTCGATCTGTGTAAGAGGACAATATGACAGTTCCAAGACACCAATGTTAAAAACAACTTGGACCAATGTTAAAAACAACTTGGACCAATGTTAAAAACAACTTGGACCAATGTTAAAAACAACTTGGACCAATGTTAAAAACAACTTGGACCAATGTTAAAAACAACTTGGACCAATGTTAAAACAACTTGGGCCAATGTTAAAAACAACTTGGACCAATGTTAAAGACAATTTGGACCAATGTTAAAGACAATTTGGACCAATGTTAAAGACAATTTGAACCAATGTTAAAGACAATTTGAATGTTAAAGACAATTTGAATGTTAAAGACAATTTGAACCAATGTTAAAGACAATTTGAACCAATGTTAAAGACAATTTGGACCAATGTTAAAGACAATTTGAACCAATATTAAAGACAATTTGAACCAATGTTAAAGACAATTTGGACCAATGTTAAAGACAATTTGAACCAATGTTAAAGACAATTTGAACCAATGTTAAAGACAATTTGAATGTTAAAGACAATTTGAATGTTAAAGACAATTTGAAATGTTAAAGACAATTTGAACCGATGTTAAAGACAATTTGAACCAATGTTAAAGACAATTTGAACCGATGTTAAAGACAATTTGAACCAATGTTAAAGACAATTTGAACCAATGTTAAAGACAATTTGAATGTTAAAGACAATTTGAATGTTAAAGACAATTTGAATGTTAAAGACAATTTGAATGTTAAAGACAATTTGGACCAATGTTAAAGACAATTTGGACCAATGTTAAAGACAATTTGAATGTTAAAGACAATTTGAATGTTAAAGACAATTTGAACCAATGTTAAAGACAATTTGAATGTTAAAGACAATTTGAATGTTAAAGACAATTTGAATGTTAAAGACAATTTGAACCAATGTTAAAGACAATTTGAACCAATGTTAAAGACAATTTGAACCAATGTTAAAGACAATTTGGACCAATGTTAAAGACAATTTGAACCAATGTTAAAGACAATTTGGACAAATGTTAAAGACACCACGTTACGAGAACATTGCCTCGTCTGGCTTCATCAATCCAAAGGAAATCTGTGGACTAGATCGGTGTATAGAACCTAGATTCGGGCATTAAAATAATTAAGTACTAAACCTACCTTTAAGTCTTGAAACCTGTTCATTTCTGTCCATGGTCACATTCAACAAACGTATCTCCGTCACGTTGATCTCTTTCAAACAACACTCGGTATGCTATGAACTAGATTAGGCTAATTTTCAATTATATTACAAAAAATGTCGTCCTAGAGCAGTAATTAATGTCACTTCCTTTGTCCTATTCAATCATTAACTAAAACCTCTAACAATGGCCTGTCTATCTATTGTTTTCACTGTGTGTCCCTACAATGCCAACTAGTGAAGTAATCTATATAATTAATTGGAAATATATCGGGAGTTTTAATTCAGTCGACTTTAATTAAGAATATATCAGTAGATATTACCACCGCGCCAAGCTTGTAATGTAATTGAGATAACTCCAAGCTAATTAACATCAATGAAGCGATGATAATGAACAAAGAGCGTTAATTGATGTGTAACCAGTAATTACTGTGATTGACACATTAATTAATATTCTATTATTTTCAATCCAGTAGACTAGATCATTCCAGTACTCCATTACATGTTAGGACAATCGAGACTATGGTAATTCACCAATACTTCTCAATAGTCAAGTATGATATTGTATTTGTCGACAGATAAAATCAATTGTTTCTTCATTATTAACCTTAATTATATTGTTTACGTCCAAAAACCAGAATTATGATTCATAAACATCAAGCTAATATTTATTTAACCGCGTCGTACATGTGACGATAACCTAATGTGTACTTCATTTTTCTGGTACCCTACACCAGGCAAACCGCTGACCAGTGACGGCGTCATTGTGGGTAAAAGAGAAATTCCCCCTAAAAACAGTTTGATTGTTTGTCTTTTTACCCAAAATCTATTTTATTATGCTCAAAACGTCTCAGAACCTTGAGCTTCCAAAGAGCTGCCACATTTTGAAATTCAACCTCGACAGTTGACCCCCTTTAACTCAGCATCACACGAATCTTTATCCCAAATGCACTCCATGGACTTATTTGTAGAATAGGTATTCTCAAAGGATCTTGGGATATCCTAGAATCACTGCGTGAAGATAAGAACCTAGGATATCCTAGCGTTTCGAGAATACGTAGCCTGGTTTTTTGGTTTGAACAATATTTATTTCTTCATGAGTATACATGACATATAATACAAAAATTATACAGTAGAGTCGATCCAGAGCATAAAGCTTATATTAGTCTGTTTCGATCGTATCATAGATGTGTATAATAGCAGTTATAACTCTATGGACCGTATCTATATACAAAATAGTCTACATTTACAGTAAAATAAAATTTACCATAGCAGCAAGCAAAATAGTTATCTTAGTAAAATAGGTTTCAAGAGAAGCATGAGGAAAAAATCTAGACCGAAATGTATTCGTTGGTATAAAGAGTAAAGCTGATTCTAAAAATAAGATTTAGAGACCTGGACTCGTATTCTAGAAATGATCTACTTGCTAGGATATCCTAGAGTCTTAACTGCTAACACTGTTTCTAGGAGATCCTAGCGATAAGATCGTTTTGAGAATACGTGGCCTGGTTTTTGATTGCAGGTACCTATATACGTTTTCTATATCAGTTCAGTTTCTTCTGGAATTGAGTTGAATTTATCAATGTCATTTTTCCATGCCCTGTTTTGACTTGAATGTATTCAGTGAACGTGGTCACATATCCTGGTAGTGATTTTCAATTGGATTGGTGAAAGACGATGTGTGAGGGAGATCTGAAATGCTTAAAGATGAGACAGCTATAACTCTTGAAAAAATACTTGTACCATTATACCTTCAAAGGATCAGAATAAAACAATCCGAATTATTATTTTTAATTCGTTCCCCTTTTACCTTTTGCAATCTGGTATTTCAAACTACTATGGACTATCGATATGACTGGTGATATCCCAGTCAACCCCTGAGGAGACCCACCTTTCCCCAACATCAACAACAGTATTATGGCAATAGGCAGCATTATCAGGCAATGGACAGTATTATCATGGCAATGTGCAGCATTATCATGGAAAACGGACAGCGTTATCATGGCAATGGGCAGCATTATCATGTAAACGGGCAGCATTATCATGGCAGTAGGCAGAATTATCATGGCAATGGGCAGCATTGTCATGGAAACGGGCAGCATTATCATGGTAATAGGCACCAGTATCATGGCAATAGGCTGCATTATCATGGTAATAGGCGCCAGTATCATGGCAATAGGCTGCATTATCATGGAAATGAGCAACATTATCATGGTAATAGGCGCCAGTATCATGACAATAGGCTGCATTATCATGGAAATGGGCAACATTATCATGGCAATAGGCTTCATTATCATGGAAATGAGCAACATTATCATGGTAATAGGCGCCAGTATCATGACAATAGGCTGCATTATCATGGAAATGGGCAACATTATCATGGCAATAGGCTGCATTATCATGGAAATGGGCAACATTATCATGGCAATAGGCTGCATTATCATGGAAATGGGCAACATTATCATGACAATAGGCAGCATTATCATGGAAATGGGCAACATTATCACGGTAATGGGCAGCAGTATCATGGTTATAGACACAGGTATCATGGCAATAGGCTGCATTATCTACCACCTACTACAACCTAAAGCTATTACCTAGAATTACCAAGCAGAGAAATCCCTGGATGCCAAGTTTTTTTGAGTAGATTACGACAAATGATTATTGTAATATATTTTTAATGATGAGTGAATGAAAGATAACAGAATAAAACAATAATGTTGCAGTTATAATTCATCAATTAAGCATGGAATACGTAGACAATTTATCAGATATCTCTGAACTTAAAGTGATCAAAACGTAACAAAGACCACTAAAGCAATGATTTAAATAATGATTTGATATGATTACATGGGACAATCAGTCATCAAAAATCATAACAAAGAACAAATTTGAATTTCAAAATATAACAAATCGAATAATAAGTACATGTTACTTGTATATCTATATTTGCTTGGAAAACTATACTATGATTCTTACACGAAAGAAGGCAATTGACAGCCATTTTGAATCACTATTCGAAGTTTAAAAACTGCTGTAATATTTCAACAATTCCTTCAAATCGAATTTAAAAGCCACTTCTATATCTCTGATATGATATGAAGGCTCAGTTGAAGGCGTATGAAAGTTAAAAAGACGATTCGTTTTTGTTTTGTTTTGAGACTTATAAAAAGACATATAGAAATAGAAAGTGAAATTAGATTGAGGTATATTTGAAGGAATTATGCGATTTTCTTTCATTTCTAGTACTTTTGAAGACTATTTATATGCAAGACCAAAATCAACACGCGCAAATGACGAATTTGTCCGTTTAAATCAACGCTTGGCTTCAAGTTGCTAAACGGGCACGATGTACAAAACACTCTATATGTACATAAATGTTACGGTTATAAATTCTGATTATAAATATGAGCAATTAAATCCATCGAGGTATATTTAGAAGCAATATCACGGGATTTTTGACTAATCTGGTCAAAGCGCACCAACCAGCCAAGTACACCAGCCAGCCAACCGCACCAACCAACCAGCCAAGCACACCGGCCAGCCAACCGCACCAACCAACCAAGCACACCAGCCAGCCAACCACACCAGTCAGCCAACAGAAAGTCAAAAATGGATCGTAAAGAAATTGGTAAAGGGAGGGAACAAGAATAACAACATTCTTTTATCACAACAATCCGTGGGGGCAACCACGGATATTTTACTCACCAGGCGGCGCGCAAGTACTAAAGAGGATTCCAACATGGCGTACTACAGATGTCAAAATGAAAACTAACACTACGAAATATTGCTGTGTTCCCACTATAGCCAATCCATAGTCCATGAATTCCCCAAGAATGAAAATTTGAAACTTATATGGTGGGTCGAGAATCTCATAAATTGCTGGTTTTCTTCCACCTGTGAATTTCACTCTAACAGGATTCTGATCTTGATCCACAGTCTACGTAGTACCTCTCGTTACGGTTGCAGGATTATATGACCTCGAATGTTCGGTTATTTAAAATATTCGTGGTTCCAGAATCACAATTACAGACCTTGCCACGATCAAATCTTCAGCCCACAGATCACCTTTCTATTGATTTTACAGCTCTGCACTTCCAACTCGGAGCTTATTTTCGATAAACATTTTTTTACATATCGAACTTAGCTGTTCTGTTAACAGTTTGCAACTGATGTCTTATCGATGTCGGCGTTCGAGATTCACATGATACTCATAATCTAAACTGGTTTACATCTAAAGCTTTGTCAGTGTATCGATTGGCGAACACAACAAGATACTAGTTTACTCAAGTTCCACGTTCCGGACGAAATCCTTTGTGTCTGACGTCAAAATCGACGTTCAGTCAACGTCTAGGTTTTGGTGTTACTATATCGATGATCCCATTGCACTACAGGCGACTGCATCTCGTCAATTGAGGATCAAAATTGAAAATGCTCAAAGTTCACTATATCAACGTTTTCGATTAATTAAGTTTCAATGTCGATATTGTTTACACAATGTGCGAAGATGATTGTTGAGATTTCGGCGGATGAGATTTGCTTTTTAAACTTTTTTGAAATGCTCGAGCAGGCTGCATCATTTCCTTTAACTTTACAGCTACCTGTAAGTAAATCATGGAAAATGTGACTTAAGTCAAAACTAGCAAAAAACTATTATTTCGCCTACAATCTGTCAGACCATTTCTCGAAAGCAACTTGACAATCAGTTACCATTGGCTGGATGACAGACGGGGCCATTTCACCTCTGACCCATGTCACTCGTAGCGACCTCAGGACTAGAAAGCTGCCAGTTTCCCTCGTATATTAAACGGATATCGCTATATTGTAAATATGATAAGTCCGGTTGTTTCCGTTCATCTGACGCAATGTCTATATTTAGTATCAGAGCTACAATAACAAAAAGTGTTTTAATTCTATCTACGTCGGCCAATCTCGCTACGACTGACCATAGCCTCTTATGAAAATCTTCTTTAATTGTTAGGCGGAAGTTACAACCGCGTTACAAAATATAGTTCTTCAGATATTAGTTGCATTACATAAATTTATTGTCACATGACCTAATATTTGTAAGTAGTCCGATTTATCCGCCATCTGCATACGAGGTTATTGTCAGGCGCAGCGAGAATGGTCGCCGTAGATACCATTGAGCACCTCTTTCAGTTTGTGAATCTGTGGTTACTGGATAGTTAATAATTATTTTACATGTACCATATTTATACAACCAACTATCATTCATGAAATAAAACCTATTTCGTTTAAGCAAATCTTTAAATCACACAGTGATTGACCGTGCCAAAATCACTACGCTGTTCTAACCAATCAATAACGACCTTTAGACAGAGTTATCTTTCTTGCCATTTTCCCGGACAAAATGTCAGCCTATAATGGCCGAGTCAACTCACGAAAACTAACGAACATTGGCAAAGGTTGAGCTGATTGGACCCATGTATAACACAGTATTAATATAACTGCCATTATTGTTACTATCATTATCATTTCATTAAATAAATCATTATCATTATTATTATCATTGTCATCATTAATTTACGTCTTTATTTTTACCTGTTTAGCCGATGGGCGTAGTTGAGGTTTTTGACACCAGCATTCTACTATTAGATCTTTATATTGTGTTATTAAATCAGATGTGTCTGGTAATTCTGGTCTACCACCACCGACAACAAATTCTATTATCTGAAATACAAAGTCGACGAAAAGGGTTAATGAGGTGGAATTTTCAGTACCAAACGAGGCATTGGTGTATTGTCCCTTTCAAACGACTATACACTTGCCACTTCCGACCTTTATCATAGTCAGGGAAAACAGGTTGTTGGCAAATCTCAAGGTAGTATCTCTATCTAATGCGGAACTGAATGCCAGAGAAAGAAGAACGTGTCGATAAATAAATCGATTATGAAATAAAATGAAAACTTTTTCTAAACTTTCTATGTGTATCGGGGACACTGATAGCATCAATTTGCACCATTCCAATTTTCATTCCGACATCTTGCCATTCCACTAAGATGTCGAATTGCAAAATGGAATGGTGCAAATTGAAGTTATCAGTGTCCCCGATACACATAATATTTTTTTAGAAAACTCTTTACAATCCCTTTAACATTAATAACTGATATTATTAACACTTATTATTAATCCATAAAAAAATAGTATCGCACATGTACCGAAAGGAAATATTGCTTATACAAACAGAAAATAACGGTTTTACTTCTTACAATTCGGCCACGGTAGGAACTGACGTTGACACTGCAGACATTATTTGGCAATATTTTGGATTTAATTATGTTCTGAGACTGACAGAAAATCCATTTTAATTTGCAAGACATTTAAAATAAACTAAAATCGCCTTCACATTGGAGATGCCATAGTTTCTAAACGTAGAGCAGAATATATAACTTCATCTCACCTCTTCTTCTGAACTCAGATCTTCAAAAGGATCTTCACAAACTATTATCTCCCAAAACACCATTCCCAGTGAATAGACATCACATGATGGTGTGAAGACTGAATTATTGTCACCTTCGTGAACTGTTGGTTGTGACAATATTTCTGGAGCAGTCCATCGTAACATAGCTGGACACGCACTATACTCTCTCATACCTGAACAAACAACTAGTCCAACTATTCGGTCATCTTCACAATGTCAAGCTATTACGAACTTCGTCTTATACCTTGAATGCAATAGCCAATATTCGTGTATCCCACAATGCAGCAATTTGATAAGATTGCATGCCAGCAAATACAGCCAATCAGAGCCCCCGACAGAAAGACTGTAAACATTATGGCTTATTATTTATAGACTTACTTTAGAGAGCTCTGATTGACTGTACTCTCTAGCATACGATCCAATCAAATCCCTCCATTTACAAACTACCTTGGTCAAGGTATAAGACTAAGTTCGTAATAGCTTTACATTGTCTAATCTAAGCCAACGAAAACCAAGACTCTTTTTATAACTAGTTCTAATTATTTTTTTTATAGTTATCACCGCTCACCCTTTTCTTTTTGCTTATTTTATTACCAGTGCTTTTTTGAGAGTCCATTGACAAAAAACTTCAATTCAAATAAGATCGCAAGGCCAATCAGTGTCCAATGGAAAAAAATAATACATGGAAGATGTTTTCAAAGACTTACAACAACAATCGTCTTGTGTACATTGTTCTCTCATTGGTTGTATTAATTTTGTTAATCCGAAATCTCCAACCTGAAACAGTTATTATAATGCAGAAAAAAAGGCGACACAAAACCAAATTACTGATTTCGGCAGTGTTTTAATTTAATATCGAGGGAGCGATGGATATTTACCACGCAAAGCAGTGGCTCAACTACCATAGGGATTGGTTAAACCAAGTACACGGGCCCCCATTTCCCAGCCTCTCCCCCTAAAAACAAATCCATGAGAGCATTAAAATTACAAGGGAGAGGGTCCCAACTCACCTAAGTCCACGGGCCCCCATTCATTTAGTTGAGTCAATGAGGCAAACAAGCCATAATATAAAACTACCCGACCTTACTTAGCTACCAGACTAAGATCACGAACATAGTTGACCGCCATGTAAAAGGCCGACTGATTTTGTCTGGCGTAGTGATTTCAATGGTGATCAACTGTCCGTTATTCCTATTTGAGAATGACATTACGAACAGTGTTAAAGAAGGTTTCCCTTATTTTCATTTATGAAAATGTAAATGCTAATACTTATATGAATAGAAAGTAGAGGTGTTCTAATGACTTGGAAAAATATCAGTTTGTCTCACATGTGCATAATTAATTCATAATTAGCTAAATTAGAAGAGAATTACCAGCAGAATTTCAATGAGTGACCGATCACAAGGTTTTTGTTTATCCAGATTGTACATACATGGACATTTATGATTGGTTAAAACTCTTAATTATATGCAATAAGAACATAATGATATGATTAAGAATACATGATAATTCATTAGAAATAGTTTACTTAATTTGACACTAAAAATAAGGAAACCCATCTTTAACATAACATCATACCTTAATAGCATCTTCATCGATAATAAAGATGTTTCCACACCGCAAATCTCTATGTAAAATTAATGGTTTACTGGAATGAAGAAATGCTAAACCATCAGCTATCTGAGTACACTGAAAATATAACCAAACACTTCAGAATCTATTTTTGACTATAGAGAGAGTCCCTCTCTAACATAAAAATTTAGACATTTTCATTTGCTCCGCCATATTTTCTTTAATTTCGAAAACGACACAGTCACAGAAGACATACAAAATGTGGCTTTCTACGCATTGTCTAAGCTTTTGAGCATTCTGAACAATCTTTTTGCAAATCCTGCCAATATCGCGCAGTTATTTCATTTGCCCACTCGATCTTTTCGTTCCGTTTTTTATTGGCTTATATTATTAATATAACCTGGTGACCTCTGCTTTAACCAATCATAAATATTCCCTCTCCAGCGCTGGGATTTTTTGTGAGAGAGAAGGAATTTGATTAGTTGAACAAGGGGGTCACCAAATTAGTTCAAAGAGTTACTGGGACGAATGGTCAAGTGGCTCGTCTTAACTGAAGTACCTATATCAAATGTAAAAGCTATAAAAAAAACGAAACGAAAGTTTGGTCTAATTTTAATAAGACTGTGTTCTTAACGAATAAACTTACAATTTTGATTCGTTGAGGCCAGGTTAATTGGTGACCTTTAACCTTTATGAAATCTCTCAAACACTCTCCATCGACATGCTCTGTTATAATATAAGGTAATTTACCATCCAGACATAATCCAATAACCGTCACGATTAACTTATGACGTAGACGACTGAAACAAAGACCGGTTTACGTCTAATTGTCTGATGGTGCATCGCCTAATGTGTTTGATATCGGGAAAATTTTGTCAAATGAAAGGAAATAATAGAGTTTTACGTTCTATTTTCAGCAATTCTGTCAAGAAATCAGTATTAGCCTTCACTGTATGGCATCATGCGCGCCCCTAAATCTCAGTCTCTCTAGACTGTGTAAGCATGCGTCCCGACGAAGAACCCAGCAGCTACCATACGTTAACACTTTAACGTCTTGCTAATGCCAAGAATGGTTTTAAATTCGGCACGATGGTTGGAACTGATTTGTTCTCTACATTGATATGTTGTTAAACTAACTCCGCAAACCTTAATTTCCACACTTCTTCATTCATGTATTCCATTGTTTTGGCAGTGACTTGGTTTTGATGAACATTTAATATAAGTCTTTTAACTGCAACATCTATACCATTCCATTTAGCAATATGTGTATCACCAAATAAACCACCACCTAATCTGAACAGAAATATAACACATTACAGTCGTGAATGCGATTTGTATACGAATTCGACTGAACTTTGGATTAAGAGGGGCTACTACCACATTTTTTTTCACATCCATTCCAGGGGTGTCAAAATTGGCAATTTTTGTAAATAAAAGAGTGTAATCCCGAATTGTATGCCATTTGAATTTGAAAATTAGGAACAGGTCAATGCCAATTTTCTTGAAAACCTAAGTTATTATTCTTGTTTTTTCAAATATCTCGCTAATTCACATCGCTAGATATTCTTGTCGTGTCATTTGACAATCGACTATCAATGATTTAAAAATAACTCAACAAAGCCAGTAATAGATAGGTAATGTAATAATAATTACAAATGATTTAGATAAAACAGACTGCATTCCTTTTAAGGTTTATAATCAAAGAGACAGACATTGTCATGTAAACGCAATAGAAAGTAATTTCACCTGGTAATGTTAGGGGAACATTTATATTTATATAATATCTCTTATTTCTTTATAAAGATGGGTTTCCTTATTTCTTTAGTGTCAAATTAAGTAAACTATTTGATTAATTAGTGTTTCTAATGAATTATCATGTATTCATAATCATATCATTAAGTTCTTATTGCATATAATTAAGAGTTTTAACCAATCATAAATGTCCATGTATGTACAGTCTGGATAAGCAAAAAAAAAAAGACTTTTTGACTTTTATTGATCAGTCACTCATACGATCAATAGACAACCTGCCTTACATATGTCGAACGTCGACATTTATCCCCCATTTCCACAGAAGATGTCTTTAAAAGGATTCATATCCGAAACGTGTGTCGACGGTATGATTTTAATTCTAATCAAAAGATATTTCAAGTACCTTTGTCTCATATCCAGACTATTTAAAGCTATCACCGAATCATCTAAAACTGGTAGTAATTTTTTCTTCAGGGATTCCTTCGGTTCCCAATCACTGTACGGAGATGGTCTGTTCATACTGCCTCTTCCGACAGATTTGATGCCAGATTTATCACCAGGGCGCCGTGCATTAGGATCAGCTAAACCCAGACCTAAAAGATGAAATGTCAAAATTATAATCCAAATTTCTTTGGATAATCGTGATCAGTCAATATTATAAATACCAAAGTTTCACGATCCACGTGAAAGCACTGCCGAAACTCGACAACTTATAAATACAGCTAGGTATTAGCTGCTTTTTGACTTAGGGAACCAATAATATTCATAGCAACTCTGATGGGACGGTGAAATATTTTCTAGTTTTTAACATTACCTGGTAGTTTATAATAAATCTCTATTTGTGTTCGTTTGATATAACACAAGGCACCAATAACAGCCGCTAGAACTAACAATCCTAGATTAGTTAATACTACTATCAATAATAACCTCTTATCTCGTACTTTCTTTAACTCTTCTAACTCTGAAATATACCAATATACCCCATAAACATACAGAACGATAGTATTGAAATAAGATGATCATACCAAATTACGTCAATGGTATGCCTACCATACAAAAGATTTTAATGGTGAACCTAACATGCAAAACATGATCCGATCTCAATGGTATACCTAACATACAGAACATGGACCATTCTCAATGTTATATCTAACATACAGAACATGAACCAGTCTCAATGGTTTACCTAACCTACAGAAAATGAAAACATGAACCATTCTCAATGTTATACCTAACATATAGAACATGAACCATTCTCAATGGTTTACCTAACATACAGAACATGAACCAGTCTCAATGGTATACCTAACATATAGAACATGAACCTGTCTCAATGGTTTACCTAACATACAAAACATGAACCGGTCTTAACTCAAGATTGAAATGAATTGCAATGCAAGGTGTCTGTTCAAAGAGTAACTTGTTTCTGACCAGTGTACAGGAAACTCGTTAAGATTCCACACAAACATCAAAATAACCAAACACGTATGATACTTTTTATACGCCCAAACATTAATGTGGGCGTATATAGTCGTGGCCCCTGTCTGTCTGTCTGTCCCCCTGTCTGTCTGTTCACAATTATTTGTGGACAAGATAGAGAGCTGGTTTCTTGATGGATTTTGACGAAACTTGGTGTGAGTGTTTGTAATTACCCAAAGATGAACCCTACTGAGAATCAGACGAATCGAAAAATATTTACTATGAGTTATTGCCCTTGTTCTTGAATTGTAAGCCGTAAACAAAACCAATGAATATGAAAATTTCACTTTCAGAAACATTCATTTACTGATAACTCTTGTCAATCTCCCGGACAAATTAGCTGCCATTACAAATGTGGGCGTATTACGATGGCATCGCTATTTTTTGATATCGCATAGACTGATTACTTAAATAGTCTGAGCATAATATAGTAATATAATATGTGTTACTATCTTTCAGTATATACAATGGTTCTCTCATACGTTAAGGCTTAAATGAAGATAACATTTTTTTTAACAATATCGTATCCATAGACAGCAGTCAGGTTGTGACCGGGCACTATAATAGTTTCATGTGATCAGAAGGATGGCACATAGACACAATTCAAGATTAATAGGTAGTAGCTTATAATCCAACCATCAATTTTCAATAGTAGCACCATAATCTGGTCACATTTTTGTTGGAATTACATACCGATCACAAGCAATGGACAGGACAAGTTGTTAGCTTGAATGCGTTTGTATGGTTACATCTGACACATAATGATCGTGATCTTGAATTATATTGCGTTCAGACGACAAGGCAGAGGTCATTATACCATTACGCATGCGCATCAAGACATAGGTAATAATAGCGAGAATTTGTTTAGACGAATGCGCACGCAGAAATATGACATATCGACTGAATGTTAGCCAGTAGCGTTCAGACAGCAAAACTACGCTGACTTAACTTTCCAAGCCAGGTTTAAAGCCACCTCCGAAGTAGTTGCAAGTTAAGGCAGCGTAACTTTGACGACCTCGAAGAAAGGTTGATAGTTAAGCTGTCTTGACTTTTGTCGTCTGTGCGCACCGTAAGTCATCTTTCTTCACAACTGAGAATAATATATATCTCTTATATACAGGTTGCATGCCTGTTTTTAAATTGTTATATTTCTATTTTGGGTGCACTAGAATTTACTTTTAGTTCACCTACCACAGATCCTTTAATTCATATCATCTTATCACAGCCTCAACAAAATTACAACCGATAAAACGAAGACGAGTGGTAATAAATTACCTTTTTTTAAAAGCATTAAATTGCAATCGATTTATTTATAACATAAACTTGATCTTACTTTGACCTGACGTAAATCATAATTTTACATAATCTACTTTCTACATTCAGGTGCACATCAACTAAGTTGACCTGAGTAAATTTGCACTATCCCATTATGTTTCGTTTTAGGTATCCGGATTTCTAATTCCACAAAGAACACTACAGATATTTCATTCGTTCATGCTACAAGACTGGTTCACATTTACCTTATCTTAGCTAGGTTCAGATATCTTAATTTCTGATGCTTTATAGAAGTAGGTTCAGATATCTTAATTTCTGATGCTATATAGGAGTGGGTTCAGATATCTTAATTTCTGATGCTATATAGGAGTAGGTTCAGATATTTTAATTTCTGATGCTATATAGAGGTAGGTTCACATATCTTAATTTCTGATGCTATATTGGGATAGGTTCAGATATCTTAATTTCTGATGCTATATAGGGGTAGGTTCACATATCTTAATTTCTGATGCTATATAGGGATAGGTTCAGATACATCTTAGTTTATGATGCCATAAAGGGGTAGGTTCAGATATCTTAATTTCTGATGCTATATAGAAGTAGGTTCAGATATCTTAATTTCTCATGTTATATAGGATTCGGTTCAAATATCTTAATTTCTGATGCTATATAGGGGTAGGATCAGATATATCTTAGTTTCTGATGCCATAAAGGGGTAGGTTAAGATATCTCCATTTCTTATGCTGTATTGGAGTAGGTTCAGATATCTTAATTTCTGATGCTATATAGGGGTAGGATCAGATATATCTTAGTTTCTGATGCTATATAGGGGTAGATTCAGATATCGTAATTTCTGATGCTATATAGGGGTAGGTTCAGATATCTAAGTTTCTGATGCCATAAAGGGGTAGGTTCAGATATCTTAATTTCTGATGCTATTTAGGTATAAGTTCAGATATCTTGATCTTAATCCATCATCTTGCTTGCTGATGCTACAGCCACTTCAGATATCATAATATTTCTGATAAAAATAGACTGATTACGATATCTTTCTTTCTGATGCTATCTTTATAACTTCTCATATTTTGCGCTTTTATGCTACATAAACCTGTTCTGAGTCTATGGCGCACCCGTCCCTTAAAAAGCAAATCTAATACGGTTTAGTAAACACCTAATATTGAGATTTGACCAAGGAAATTGCATTATCTGTCAGATAGGTCCGGCTATAAATTCAAGTTAAAATGAGACCAAAAAAATTTGATAAGAAATTTAAACCTACCAGGTGAAGCGAAACGCGTGTTTTGTATCAGTTTTATTTGTTTATTTTCCTCTATGTACCTTAATGTACTTATTTATTTTTGTTTATTTAGTGAACCATAGTATATAAGTGCCCTTGTTCTTATTCTTATTTTCATATTTAAATTCAGAGTTAGAATAATATCCTTCGATTCTTCTGTAAATAATGAAATGTTTAAAGCATATATAAATGAGATATAAGAGCTGTAAATTGTAAATTGATTAAAAATATATAGCAAAACACAATTAACATTAAATTCCTCTTCTATAATGATACAAAATATTTTAACATTGAAACAAAACGCAAAGATGATACTTGGCACAACAAAACATTACACTCCAGACTCTCGACTTGGGGTAGAAATAGGGGGCAGGCAGACTCAATGGCGGGATAACTGTCGAGGCTGAATTCAAAATCCGTCGACTCTGTGGAGGCGTAATAGTAGCAAGCATCTCACTGTATATCTGAGAGAATTCTTCCAATTTCTTTTCTCCAAAAATTGAATTGATTTGGTAAATTCTGACATATATTTTGGGGCAAAAATCGATTTTGCCTTACTTTGGACGAGATTTTGTTTAACAGAATTGTCTTGCTTGTACGGATTTTTATTACACGTAATCGGAAATATTTTGATTTGCGACCTCATGATTCAGAACAAAAGGACGTACACGAAGTGATAAATCTTTCTTTACCAATAGACATAAGCCAAAAAGAAAATGTAAAAAGGGGCTTGTAACAAAATGTTTCGTGTCCTTACATAACATTAAAGACGTATCAAAAATTTATGGTTTATATGCCCGTATTAATGTTATCTACAATGGTATAAATTATGCAAAGACACATTCTTACCAGTAGAATTGGTAGTGTGATTTGATGAAATTGGTTCTAAACAGCCATCAGGACAACAGCACACATGGTGTAAATTTGCTTCCTACAAGCATAATTAAAAACATCATATCCATTGTCTGGCAAGCAGTCTAATTAAAATTTGACTTAACTTCCGTTCGTATCTTATTAGTTTCGTTTCGAATGTTTTATTAACTATTAGCTTTGTACGTAACCACTACAGTAAGATCTAACAATGTCCTTCTGAATTTTTCATTCTGTTAACTTTTGCTTGACCTCTGTTTTAACCAATCACCTGTCTGTCCTTTCCAGCGACGAAATACTGTGACGCGAACAATAGGTGCCTCCCGAGGCATATTAGATTAGCTTATCAAGTCCGCTAGTCTCACACGCCCCGGAATGCACCTATTGTTTGCGTCACATTATCACTTTCTAAACGTGGTCGAAGTATTACTTTCAGACAATTGTTTAAGAGGCTTCTCAAGTAGCATTGTCAGTGAACAACCTCAAAGCAATGTTTTATTGACACAGTCAATACTTCTGGGTCATTCTAGAAAATTGTTCAAGAAACATCTTGAGTACCAATATTGTGATGTTTGTGGTATCACTAAGTGAAAATTCGACGTCGTTTTCGTTTGGAATTGTCGAAAACATACTGGCAGATGTGACGATGGTCTTCGTATAACTGAATATGAGGTTATCGGAAAGAACGCAAATATCCGTTCGATTATAACATACATAAATTGGACAATTCAATGTTTTGATATCTCTTGAAATTGGGCATTATAATTTTAACAATTTGTTTGGTTTCACAAAATAAATAGCCAATTATACTTAAATTTCAGGATGAAAAAAATGAGATAAGATCAATCAAAATAATTAAATTTCCATAGGCTTCTTAATAAAACATACACTCACCACTGGGCCTTTTCCCATTGGACTGGATATTTCAAACAAGGCTTCATCAGTTTTAATGCGACTTCTGTCACAAATTAAATTAATAAATGTCAATCGATTCCGCATTGACCTGAAATAGGATACATTTTGTTTTTGAGGTTAGCTTTTTTTAGGTTTAAAATAATTTCTTTCCAGTCTTTGAAGACAGAAAATTTAATAATGCGTCAATTAAGGTGAAAACTTACATTGTGTCATATTCGGCAGAAAATATCTTGTGAGTTAATAGTCTAATCAAAATTAGATCCAACTTTCGTTTCGTTTTTTTTATTAGTTTTTATTTTTAGTATAGCCACAACGACCGTACTCTTGAACATTCGTCAAAATAACCTTTGACATAACCTGATGACATCTACTTCAACCAATTAAATTGCTCCAATCTCTCACAAAACGCCAACGCTGGAGAAGACTTAAATTTGACTGGGTTGATGAATGGCCTGTGGCCCCCTTGGAAAATTTTGTGGCTCCTAATAGGTCACCTCCTCTGACGTTTCCTAGAAACGCCACTGTTTTAAGAGGGGGGGGGGGGGGGGGATCCATTTTTTCTACAGTGTTCCCAAGCAAACGTACTACAGAGTTAATTTTGAGTCATCCACTTTGAACATGACACAATTTGTCTTTTAATAGTGAATAACTTACTTGGTGCCTTTTAGAACTAGTTGTATGGCAGTTTTATTGTTGGCATCGTCCTCTACCATCTGAATTCTGACTGATCGTTCTATACCCAACGTATAATAATGATGAGATATACCATCAAAACCAAATATACACATCTACAAAAATTATAACAAAATTATATCATCGGACGAGACTTTACTTTAATCCAATCAAAAAAATATTAAAGATTAATGGGATGCAGCCCTTGCTGTTGACTTCGTCACTCGGCGTTATTCTAAAAGAAATTCCTAGTTTGAAGGAATGATACCATTATCGTACATTTCTAGTACTTCTTAAGATTATTTACGTATACATCTACTCAAGTCTAAAATAAACCTTTCAAAATGGCACATCTGTCCCTTTAGGGAAGATAATAAAACGACTCTTTCCTAAAAGAAACCATCCAACCATTCGAGGCCACAAGATAAGTCCTCTTCCAATTTCTCAATGAGGTAACTATACCACCCTATGGCCGGCTATATATTAGAGAGAATAAAACCGTCTGATCATCAAATCTAATTCACACAAATATATTTGTATATCAAAACTTGTTTATTACAAATAATTAGAGCGACTAATATGGTAAAGATGATGTGTATCTCAAATAGCTGAAATCAATACAGCTGCGTGAACAAATATGTCTTAAGGACACAATATCAAAAACAGTCCTAGGCTTGAATTCATTTACCATTAACTTTCTTCCCAACTCTTCAATCAGTGATGGCGCCACATGCATTTGCAACCCCCTTTCAGACGCTCAATGAGAGGCCTGCGTGTATGACGCTCCCACAGAGTTTCAGCATTTTGAATTTAGTCTCGACAGTTGCAGATTTAATGGTTGGTTGTTAACGTATGCTTCCAGCGTAAGCTGATATCGCAAACTAGGTAGTTGTTGTCGGAGTAGTTGAAAGTTGGGTTTTATCAATCAGTCTTCAGAGGATGACATCTCCACTGTCTTCCATATGACTAGTAATTTCAAAATACATTCTGTGAATTGATCATATTGCTACATGAGAATAATATTGTACCCTGAGACAAACAGCTATTCTTTTTATGCTTGGACACGTTTCAAGATGTACATAAATAAATTGTTCTCGACTATAACCACAGAAATGTTCTAGTCGTTTGCCATATAGCTACAAATAAAACATTTCAGAAACCTAATGGGGCTCAAGTCGACCTTGCGATCGACCGAGTTTTTGAGCCACTGAATTGCCAACGAACGCTTGCAATTGGTGGTATCGATCACTAGATTTAGTCTACCAAATCGCTTCAACAGCCAAAAATTCGCATTTTCCGCCAATTGCTCATGCATGTTTGTAATATCTGAGGTCTATTTTCAACTATCCCATCCACTATCGCTCATGTCGACTGATTTTAATTTAAGAAAGGTGTAAAAGAACTTACCAGGACAGAGGAGCAACCGTCACCAAATCCGGTGTGGGGATCTTTGGGTTCGTTATAAGCTGTACATGGATCAAATGTATAATTCCACAATTGTTTTGATGCAAAAAATCTGTAAGGAAAACACCAGATATTCAAAACATGCATAACTGCTAATGTCCGGCCATGATTGATTAATAGCCCCGTCAAACAGGAGTTGCGTCCCTACTTAACTGCTACGGTGATGAAATATTAGCTCAGAGCATGTTAAGGTCACCATAAAGCGCTTAGTATAAGCGCGGAGGAAGCGTCAGACATCAACGACCAAATCAACAGCACAGACTAATCCAATTTGAACCAATCCAACTACCAACTACTAAGACTACCAACAACTACCTAGTTCGCGATATCAGCATCCGCTGGAAGCGAACGTTAACTTGTCATCAACCAACAACTACCTAGTTTGTGATATCAGCATCCGCTGGAAGCGAACGTAAACTTGCCATCTACAAACCAAACCATTGTTGCCGAGTCAATAATCACCGTTTAGATCGCGACAGAACCGAGAACGTCTTTAGACAATCGTCGTAACATCTCCATAAACGCAATAAAAAATGGACCATGCCTATAGATTTTCATAGAAATCGCAGGTTAATAGCGACTATTTTAGAATTTATAGTTTTAAGGCATTTTTTCTCGCGTCTTCTTTACGCTAGTCGCCATAAGATCACAAAATGACGCAGTCTGGTTTGACGGGGCTATTATGCCATATCATTATGTATCCAATGCATATCTTGGCTATACGAATCATTTCAATCTGAGAAGTCAGTATAACATTCTGTTTACATGTTGTTTTTTGGATAGTGTTGGCACTGTTGCGTTATAAGGAATGTTACATTAAAGGGACTGTTAAGATGTTTGCTAAATTTTCTGTTTATCGAGGATACAGATATCATCAATTTACTTACACCAATCTTATTTTGAATCATACATCCGTGGTTCTTGCAAGTGTTTTACTTATCGCAAAGGCCTTAAGTGACGTCATCAAACACTCAGTTATAGTGGAAGTACAGGAACCACAGACGTCTGATTGAATTGAAGATTTGAATGGTGTAAATTGATGCTATCCCCGATACAAAAATAAATATAAAAAGTTTAGAAAACCTTTTTGCAATCCTTTTAAATTAATTAAAGATAACATATGCCTAATCATCTTTTGGACTTTTTTTTACTACCCTCTCACATACGCTCACTGATTTGAATGCATAATTTCCGTCCGTTGACGGCTAGTTTCTACTTATCATACAATCCTGGGTCCCAGTCTGGGGTATCTGTACCTCTTTTTGTCAATAAAGTAAAAAAACAAGAACGACGTGTAACAAAAATTGACGTATCTGTGTACAATGGGAAAAATAAACAACTGACACACACTCTCCCTTTAAAGAGTGTTATTCAATATCTTGTACTCTCGACACAGGGTTCATTCCGATTTAGACAAAATCCTAGTAAATAAACAATCCCAATTTGTAGTGGGCCATTGAACTTTTAGATCATATCCGTATAAGCATGACAATTCCAATAACCATAATCTCGTCTAAATTATGGCAAAATCGGAAGTAAAATTTGTATAGTAGTGGACTCCTCCATGTACTATCAGGTTGTTCGGACAGAATAAGCACTTCTCATAACTGATCTTACATGCTCTCTATATTGTTCATCTATTGTAGTGGACAACCAATCAGCAAACTTAATGACACAACATGCGTACTGACTATATGAATCAATTTCAGATGGTTTACTATCCAATTTCAGCATCCATTACGCAAACTCTCAACTTATTTCGTTTCATATATTACTTTTAAGAACATGTTAGCTTTAATATTGTACGGAAAATTTGTTTTTAGAAAATGGAACGCCTAAATATCAAACTAGGTCAAGTAATATTAAGTGGTTTAATGACATATTTACTACAGAGAGAATACAAGTTGAACTTACCTGGCATATCCATCGTTTCTTGTTAAGGGCCTGAGGTTAATTATTCCCCCTGTTTTAACCCTGACTTTACATGCATCGAAACCATTCACGTCCCCATTACCACTCACGCTATCTGAAAATGGTCTCTCAGTCGCTATCGATAACGTAACGGGGCCTTTTACTCCAAATAACACAATTGATATAATGACAAATACAGACATTCTCAATGCACATCGATGTACATATGAATATAAGCCCTTTTACTGATAAGAAAACAATATCACCCTCACAAATACAATATAGTAAACTAGATCAAATCATTACAGCTGTGAATTGTTAACACTCCAATATGATTGGATAATACTTGACCAAGCTTTTACCTAGCCACACCTCTTACACAGATTTGTATGTTTTGTGTTAAAGTTGGTTATGTATCTACAAATAGCATACGAATTACGTAACAGATATATATATAGTAATGATTACAATTATTGTACCACAATTAAGTCACTTGTGTATTTAATCCCCATCTCACAGAATGTGAAGGAACGTTGCGTCGGACAAATGATTACTGGTTCACGCTTTGCTAGACAGGTATGACAATTGTTATCGGTAAATTATAGGTAAAAAGTTCAATGAGGTTTTATTGTCTGAGCAAATGAAAATGATCGATATTTTTTAAAAGAATTAGAATATCATCCTCAAAATAGTACTAATAGTCTTAGATTGGCTTTGTATTGATAAAAATATAATTTTTTATAAGTTTACATTGAAAAGAAACACAGAGAGAAATGGGAGCGAATTTTCAACCATAAAAGTCACTATGCAAAATGAAAAATCTACAAGTGTGGAGGGGTGGGGGAGGGGGGAGGGGGGTGAAGTCACTCGTTGTTTGAAGATCGCACAGCGTGAGTATCATTGGATAGAACTCATCTTTAAGTAAGTGCATGGTAGACCTAGTCTTGTGGATCACTCTTAAGTGATAGTATAAATGTGTTTATGAAAAGAGCTGTGCCTTCTGGTGGAAACAATTAAATGTGTCTCAGACAAAAGAAAAATTTTTCTTGTAAAGATAGCTTACCAGGCAAGGTAACATACGCCCACTTTCAGCATGGTTTTAATCAAAACGTCTGAAAGAACGGCAACCACCATCATAGAAAACATTTAACATTTCTTGTTTTCGATAGGCCTCTTTTTAAAGTTATAATCAATGTTTCCGTCCAAATATTAGAGAGTTCACAAGCTAGAAGTCAAATAAGGTAAAAAACAAAGAAATTTTAGCAAATCAATTACTACTAGTTTGCGTAATCAGCATCCGTTGGTAACAAACGTTAACTTGTCATCTACCAACAACTACCTTGTCTACGATGTCAGCATCCGTTTGAAGCGAACGTTAACTTGTCATCTACCAACAGCTACCAGTTTGCGATGTCAGCATCCGTTGGAAGCGAACGTTAACTTGTCATCTACCAACAACTACCTTGTCTACGATGTCAGCATCCGTTTGAAGCGAACGTTAACTTGTCATCTACCAAGAACTACCAGTTTGCGATGTCAGCATCCGTTGGAAGCGAACGTTAACTTGTCATCAACCAACAACCGTAGTGAGGCAGGAAATATAACAAAGACAATAAACAACATTTTGAATCAAAGATTATCAAATGGTTTGTAGACAAAATGTTACAACCTGAGCATTTAAGTGGGGTGTGAATATTGAGGCAGCTTAATTCAACATGATTACCTCCCCTGTTATAGGTTTAATGTACGTCTTTGATATTGAATTTTGATTTCCACCTTAAAATAATTTTACCACGATAAGCATGCTTTTCACACACGGGATAGAAGTTTGAACGAGATGTACTCCCATACAAGCTTTGAAACGAACTTTGTTTCAAAATGAGCATCCTTTACATAAAAGAAAACATTACGTCCTCGTTAGCCCATAATGTGCAAAAAAGTAGGACGCAAAACTCCATTCATTTCATTTTATTTTTGAAAAAAAAAACATTTGATTCAATGTTGGTTGGTTGGTAGATGACAAGTTAACGTTCGCATCCAACGGATGCTGATATCGCAAACTAGGTAGTTGTTTGTAATCGTAGTAGTTGGTAGTTGGATTATTTAATTCATGGCTGTTGTAGGTTATTTATATGAAAAATGTTTCAGAATGAAGTAAAATATGTTATTGCCTTGAGAAAAATAAAAAAAAACAATTTCAAACAAACTTGCTAAGAAACTTAATCCTGTTAACACATCTTGACGATCGAGATGAATTTTCTTTGACTTACAAGACGTGAATTCATCATTTGCTGTATTCCAATTGTTCGATGTAATTGAACTTTGACTCCGGAAGTTTATAAAAACGTTTAGATCTAAAGATGAAATACAGCAAATCCAAGTGTAAATCAGCGTCGATGATCGATTAATCCAAGGGGATGATAAATGCCAAAAGGTTTTTCCAAGGACCAGTTTTTGAAACGGGATCATGGAATATCAATCGATCGATCGAATTGTGAAAGTCTTGTAACCTTAAATAAGTCATCTTTGCCCATTATTCCAGTCTTCCAGCTGCAAATGGGTAAGGATATTATGGGAAAGATCAATGCAAAGAGATTGGCTATGAACAAGCTGGTAAAGATCTAAGCTTTTTATTCTTGTAAAATAATGGTTGTTTCTTACGTGCTCTTTCAGAAAAGTAGGACATAAAACTCCATTCATTTCATTTTTCTCGTGCTCTATTTCTTAGTTGTAAAGTGTTATAATTTTCTTTTTTTACTAGCAAATATTCTCAATCATTTACACATTATAACATTTTATTATCAACCAATATCTTAAACACATAAAAACAGGAATGTCCAGAGATCAATTGTTTTTTTCTGCATTTCTTTAGTTCATGGCAATTTGAAAGGTTCATTGAAAACTATATTATACAAAAACTAAATGAAAGATTTATAATATACATACAATTTATTACATTTTATGACATGCGTTCAAAGAATTTTCAGTCGGCAAAATACATTCATGAGCATCTGGTATACATTCCAATATAATTAAAAATTAAATAGACTTTTACGTCGTTTGACTGTGCCGACGAACTAAATCGTGCTTTGTGATTGTGCTGGTCAAGTTTTCTGAAATTTCAAGGATTGCTGATATCGAATGAGAAATTGTAATGATAATGATAATTATCTTATAAAGCTAGAATTAAAATTAGATCATAATATCATTATTTTTTTTTGTCGGTCTCCGAAAAATAAGAACGAATACTAGTATTCATTATTTTAATTGACGCGTGCAGGGCGGTGCTTAATAAACCGTGGTAGGACCTATAACAAGTTGAATTCAAGTTAAATGCCTATCTCACTGGTCTGGAGGCTTGTTAGTGACCAGATGGCGACTCGAGTTTCCGCTGATTGGTTTCTGTAACGTCTCATGGAAACTAACCGGGTCTGCGATTAACCGGGTCGTGAAGGTTTTGAAAATTATTTCAAGTTGGAAGTTGATGTTTATAAATGCTTATCACTTTCATTCTATATTGGAAGTTAATGTTTGTATATGTTTATCACTTTCATTCTTTATTGGAAGTTAATGTTTATAAATACTTATTACTTTCATTCTATATTGGAAGTTAAATGTTTATAAATACTTATTACTTTCATTCTATATTGGAAGTTAAATGTTTATAAATACTTATCACTTTCATTCTATATTGGAAGTTAAATGTTTATAAATACTTATCACTTTCATTCTATATTGGAAGTTAAATGTTTATAAATACTTATCACTTTCATTCTATATTGGAAGTTAAATGTTTATAAATACTTATCACTTTCATTCTATATTGGAAGTTAAATGTTTATAAATACTTATCACTTTCATTCTATATTGGAAGTTAAATGTTTATAAATACTTATCACTTTCATTCTATATTGGAAGTTAAATGTTTATAAATACTTATTACTTTCATTATATATTGGAAGTTAATGTTTATAAATGTTTATCACTTTCATTCTATATTGGAAGTTAAATGTTTATAAATACTTATCACTTTCATTCTATATTGGAAGTTAAATGTTTATAAATACTTATTACTTTCATTCTATATTGGAAGTTAATGTTTATAAATACTTATTACTTTCATTCTATATTGTAAGTTAATGTTTATAAATACTTAGCACTTTCATTCTATATTGGAAGTTAATGTTTATAAATACTTAGCACTTTCATTCTTTATTGGAAGTTAATGTTTATAAATACTTGGCACTTTCATTCTATATTGGAAGTTGATGTTTATAAATGCTTATCACTTTCATTCTATATTGGAAGTTAATGTTTATAAATGCTTATCACTTTAATTCTATATTGGAAGTTAATGTTTATAAATGCTTATTACTTTCATTCTATATTGGAAGTTAATGTTTATAAATGCTTATCCCTTTCATTCTATATTGTAAGTTAATGTTTATAAATACTTATTACTTTCATTCTATATTGGAAGTTAATGTTTATAAATACTTATCACTTTCATTCTATATTGGAAGTTAATGTTTATAAATACTTATTACTTTCATTCTATATTGTAAGTTAATGTTTATAAATACTTATTACTTTCATTCTATATTGGAAGTTAATGTTTATAAATACTTATCCCTTTCATTCTATATTGGAAGTTAATGTTTATAAATACTTATCACTTTCATTCTATATTGGAAGTTAATGTTTATAAATGCTTATTACTTTCATTCTATATTGGAAGTTAATGTTTATAAATGCTTATCCCTTTCATTCTATATTGTAAGTTAATGTTTATAAATACTTATCACTTTCATTCTATATGGAA